GGAATAATAAAGAATTATTTAAAAAATTTATAGAGGATATAATTATAAAATTAATTAATTAGCTTTAATATAGGTAACAATTTAAAAAACAATTTACATATTTATATTAATTCAACAGAAGACTAATTTTATCAACAATATTCGCTAAATTGAAAATACCGAAATGTGAAACTGTGTCACAAACAAATAGAAGACAATAAAATTTGTGAAATGGACAAACAAAACACGATCCTAACTTATAAGTTCCGTCTTTACAGAAAATGATAAAAGCAATAAATACTTTTCTTTTGAAAGTATTGAATAAGGTGTATTTTGCAGACCTGTGTTATATAGTAATTTATTGCTACTGAGAGACTGGCTTTATCGTTGTAATTTTTTTTAAAGGTGGTTGTAGTTTGCATGGTCTTCGGAATCGGGATATTTGCTGCAGTAGTTTTCTGGATTAGGAGATGCAAGTAAGTACAAATGTTATCGTACAGAATGTGCCAAAACTAGGGGACATTTGACCATCGAACAGGAATTTTTTCTTAAAGGTTGACATAATAGTAGCTGTGATGTTATCATCATCATGAGGTCGTCAGTCCTAAAAACTGGTTAGATACGCACCTCCACTCCTTCCTATTCTGAGCTAATTTTCGCACTTCCCTAAAACTAGAATAACCACATCCTTAACTATTTGCGTATAGTAATCTAATATAGGTCTACCTTTACTTCTCTTAACTCCTGTTGCTGCCTCTAATATGTCTGACTAGCCCTTCATGCCTGAGAAGGTGTCCTACCAACCTATCTCGCCTATTTCTTATTGACTTCCACCCTGTTCAGTTATTCTTTTTAATACCTCTTTATTTCTAATCTTCTCTATCTTTTGAACGCATCTAACATTTTCTTACCGCCACGCTCACCGTCAATGTTTCGCACCCGTACAGCGCCGTGCTCCAAACATACACCGTTAACAATCTTTTTCGAATTTCTAAATTAACCGTTTGCGAGCATAGAAGTGACTTCTTTTTATTGAAAGCGACTCTACCCTGCGCTATCTTCTGCTTTATCTTCATCAGTGAATTCTTGTTTTTAAGTCACTTGTTTGCTCGTCATTTGTACTTTTGATTTGATTTTGAGGCGCACAGGAACTATGTAAAATGATAATAGAATAATTGCTGTATCTAAACGTAAATCTTCATACCAACGCGTTTATTAATAATAATAAGTTTATGTATTCTCAACTATCATATTATTAAGCAAAATCATAAACACATGTCAATTTCTCAAAATGCTAACACAAAATAATTTTTAATGTTTGTACTTGTAAATAATAGACAATATTACGAACAGGTATATTTTATAATCACTTATTGAAAAGAATCATAGTCATCGGAAGTTAATTTAATCGTTACCTTTAACGTTGACGTTACTCGTTACTAATCATAAAGTGGACTCCAAAAATAGATACTCTCATTGAAGTATCTACCTACTTGTGTATATTCAGGTTAATTAGTTGCTAATACCTAATAAAGTAAAAAAGTGCCGTTAAATTATGGAAGGATATTTATAACTTTTTAGTTAATTTTCACAGAAAATAAGTTTTCAAAATATTTTTTATGCCTTTTCATTTTTGTAATCATAACTTCTTTAGAAAAATCCATAAAAGTTTCTGAAAAACCATATCATTTTCTATTATTTTCCGTTTCATAGAATTTCATTTGTCATAGCTTTTAATTTTTTTCCGTTAGGGTATTCGATTATTTATATCATTTAAACATCGCATTTGTGCTGTCTTTTTATCAAATAATTAAAAAAATGTTTTGTAAAAGCCGCGTTAACGTTAAATATTATCATAATTGAAAATCATTAAAAATATAAACAAAAGATAAGATTCAATCGCATTGTAATCATCACCACGTCTTTATTTAATAAAGTATTGGAAGCCTATGTGCTCGATTTAACTATGCTTATTAAATTATAAGTCAGTGGCCTCAAGACACTGATAATTACATTTTAAAAAATCAAAGAAACCCAGAAGCCTTACAATTTACTGCCCGATACAAATTCCTAACGTAATTAAATTACTTACTTAGTAAATACAATTCGAACAAAAAAAAAGGGAAACCTCAGTCCAATGTAATCCATTCGAATATTCAGTAGTTTTTACAACTCTTGCTATTGGTGTTTAATACAGTTTCGAAAATGTTCAATATTTACCAAAATATTAAACCGAAAGAAGAGAAAGATGAAGAAATGGTGATAGGACACGACCGGTTTTGTCAAAGAAGACCGTCCAGGTCAAGTTATCGACGAAAAAGACGTATGAGTAGAAGAGCTCAAAGTGCTACCGAATTTTCTAAAGCTTCCTTAAGTGCCGCCCAAAAACGTGTTGCCTTCAGAGCGCGAAGTCAAAGTTCGGATGATAAGAATGATAGTTCTACCCAAAGCACTTCAATGAGCGTTGAGTCTATAATTAAACTATTTTCTTCCAAATCAGGGTAAAAACTAACAATATGTCTGTAATTATTAAGGATTTGTGAATACATTAGTTAATTAATTTTTGAGTTTACTTTGCCCACTACAGATATATCCCAAAGTAATGAGAAAAAACTGTTGCTGCTTTCATACCCTCGCCGGGAACCGAACCCGGGCCTTTGCTTTTTCGCACCAGTACTCTACCACTAAGCTACGAAGAGGTGACGGTAATAACACCGGCGGTACGTATAGGTAGCTTAGTAATAGAGTACTGGTGCGTAAAACCAGTAGCTCTGGTTCAATTCCCGGCGAGGGAATGACACCAGCAACAATTTTTTTCTCAATTTAGGGAATCTGTAATGGGTAAATTCACTAATACTACAATGATGTGTGAATACTTCACTACTTTGAAACATTCTCCACTCCTTTCGTGTCATTTACATTTTTCTTGCGAATTATTCAGTATATAATTATGGAACATGTATCTATCTATGCCCGGCAGAAATGATTTCTTTCTGTTTTCAATATTATTTTGGATATAAAGATTTGTTTTCAGTGAGTTCGTAACAGAAGGAGTACTTTACCTTCGTGGTACGGTTGATATTTTATTTGAGGGTGTTCGATTCAATACTTGCAGATATCTTCAAATAAGTATTAAGTTAATAAGTTTATAGTCATAATTGCTTGATGAAATAATTCGATATTTTTAGTGAAAATCTCCAATATTTTATTTTAATTAATATTATTCATCTTCATCTGTATGTATCATTCCTCCTAATAGTTCCCCCACTATACATTAATAGATGATTATTATCGATCTATGGATCACTTTTAGGCAACCTTATATACAGCCATGTTCGTAACGTTGCCTACAATTTTATCCACTGGAAGAATATATTCAACATAATAATAGTTATTCTACGAAATCAATCTTATTAGTTACTATAATAAAAAATACTTCTTTTTCTAGCACTTTTTTAATCTTTTATATCTTTAAGATCCTCAGTTCCCCGCCATGAATACAGTGCTCTAAGGACCGACAGTGGTAGTGAACGTCACAAGTTAGAGAAACAGATTCGAAATGGTGTATTTTCAATTTGTAAGGAATTTCTGTCCATGAGCGATCGTTATGAATTTCGAACGCAACTCGGTGACATAGGATCAAGAGCAGACAAACACTGGTATTGCTTACAATTTTTTTTTCCTCTTCAAGACCAAAAATTAAAATTATTGTTACAGGTTTATAGTTCAAGACACTGAGCTTGGCGCGGAAAGATTACTCAGTTTAGTAGGCCTGCCATCAACGTGTCCAATAACACCCAGCCCCGAAACTAGACGGACTTTTTTGTCTCTTTTCAGAGGGCTGCAGCATCCTTACATCCATCCAATTTTAGATTTAGAGTTTTGGGACTCGCAGGTCGCTCTCATAAGTCCACTGAATTTAACGGGCAGTTTGAAAGATCTGATATATGGGACTTATTGGCATGACGACTGGGAGTTGAAAAGCAATAAAAAGGGAATTGGGCTTCCCCTTTGGCAGGTAAACATCTAATTTTAATTGAGATATTCTTCATACCTCACTTAACGTTAGTGAGAAATTTCACCTTACAAAAGTTTTCAAATTTCATTATTTTTTTAATTTTACTTTTCATATTATTATCGGGTTTAGGTGTATTCAGACCAGAAAAGTATTGGTGACCCTTTCTCTTCCCCTTTTAGTTAAATTTTCGCTTACACTTTAACGGAATATTCCCAAAAGGAGAATATCCTTGGGGTGTCGCGGTTGATCGCCTACTAAGGATGTGAATAGCACTTCTTATCTCCTTGTCATAAAATTGACCCATTTTATTCCCATGGTTACACAGTTTTGCAGTGATCTGTGAGGATTTCCACAACAGTTCTGTCTTTTTGACGATTCTCAAGGGAGATGAAAGCTTTTATCTCACTACATCCTAATTGTGTTTCCCGCTCCCTGCAAAGTTTTGAAGTACCCATCTTGCAATTTCTCGCTTAACTGGTAGTGATAAGCAAGGCAAGACCAAGATCAAGACTGTCCTAGTTTTGGTATTGGTTTTGGTCTTGATGAAATACTTCTAGTCCTGCTCTTGGTCTTGGTATTGCGTATTAAGTCTTGGTCTTTTTCATTTAATCTGGTACTTAATACGACCCCAACTTCTTATTTGTTCCCAGTTTGTTCTTCTTGAGATGTTATCTTGTCATTTTGATTTGTAGGTCCAACGCTTGAGTCGGCAAATCTTAGAAGCCCTAATGTTTCTTCGTGATCGCAGTTTCCCTCCATTTTATTGTTTACATTCCGGAAACGTAATTTTACAAAACGGAGTTGCTCGCTTGGCTGGCCTAGAAAATCCATTCCTTGGAGTGACACCTCGCTCTCCCAACGTACCCGACATTCCCGCATTTGGACATCTCCTTTTCGAAATGGCCGCAGGCTACGAATTACCATCGCCACCCAGTCCGGCCCATTTACAACTCGAGCTTGAAAGAGTGCCTAAAGTAGTTGAAGTCATACGTCTTATATTTCAAAATAGCGTCCATATTACTTTGGAAGACATTTTGGCTTGTGACCTTTTTAGGGGAGTTGAATTAAGGGAACTGAGAGGCGTGAATGGATTCCAGGGTCGGTTCAGCCCCGATGTTGTACAGCTTTTGGATGCAGTAAAGAAGCCATCCACGACAATAAGAAGGTACGTGTTTCAGTTCATTTAAAAAAAAAATATCGAGATTTATATTTGCCTAAAGAAAGTAAGGTCGTGATTGGAAGAAAATGGACGAAATGGTCCTGAGATGGGTTGNATCACTTAACAGTTTCCTTATAAAATTTGTTAAGTACCAAAATCCTTGTTTGACGCCAAAATTAGAATAGAGACGTACAAAATGCAACATAACCTTTGGAATGATTTTCAAACAGTGAAAACAAATTTTGTTAAAAATATATTATAATTTTGTAGGAGTTTGTATAATTCTCTCATCGGAAAATCTAGGTTTTATAGTTTAGATATTTTCAATTATTAGTAGATATACTTAATATCGCGGCAGATGGAAAAAATGTACAATATCCCTCTTATACATCACTTAACAGTTTCCTTATAAAATTTGTTAAGTACCAAAATCCTTGTTTGACGCCAAAATTAGAATAGAGACGTACAAAATGCAACATAACCTTTGGAATGATTTTCAAACAGTGAAAACAAATTTTGTTAAAAATATATTATAATTTTGTAGGAGTTTGTATAATTCTCTCATCGGAAAATCTAGGTTTTATAGTTTAGATATTTTCAATTATTAGTAGATATACTTAATATCGCGGCAGATGGAAAAAATGTACAATATCCCTCTTATACATCACTTAACAGTTTCCTTATAAAATTTGTTAAGTACCAAAATCCTTGTTTGACGCCAAAATTAGAATAGAGACGTACAAAATGCAACATAACCTTTGGAATGATTTTCAAACAGTGAAAACAAATTTTGTTAAAAATATATTATAATTTTGTAGGAGTTTGTATAATTCTCTCATCGGAAAATCTAGGTTTTATAGTTTAGATATTTTCAATTATTAGTAGATATACTTAATATCGCGGCAGATGGAAAAAATGTACAATATCCCTCTTATACATCACTTAACAGTTTCCTTATAAAATTTGTTAAGTACCAAAATCCTTGTTTGACGCCAAAATTAGAATAGAGACGTACAAAATGCAACATAACCTTTGGAATGATTTTCAAACAGTGAAAACAAATTTTGTTAAAAATATATTATAATTTTGTAGGAGTTTGTATAATTCTCTCATCGGAAAATCTAGGTTTTATAGTTTAGATATTTTCAATTATTAGTAGATATACTTAATATCGCGGCAGATGGAAAAAATGTACAATATCCCTCTTATACATCACTTAACTTAGGCAACCTTATATACAGCCATGTTCGTAACGTTGCCTACAATTTTATCCACTGGAAGAATATATTCAACATAATAATAGTTATTCTACGAAATCAATCTTATTAGTTACTATAATAAAAAATACTTCTTTTTCTANAAAATCCTTGTTTGACGCCATAATTAGAATAGAGACGTACAAAATGCAACATAACCTTTGGAATGATATAAATAAGTGTTTTTTAATATTAAGGATCATTATTTCAGAAAATTACAATTGAAGTTATTGCAATACAAAAAAAAGAATCAAAGCAATTCATACAGGGACCGATTTCGTCCTTCTAATCCTTTCACTATCTGTAATTGTTTACTTAACCACAAATATACTGGGTGTCGTAATTTTGTATGCCATATACTTCTTCTATACATGTGTATGATAAAGTCAAGCAAGTTCATGTGTTTACTGTCCCGCACAGGCGCCATTATTCCGAACCAGACGACTTGGATCCTTGGTATTCGTAAATTGTTTATACTCGGTAAGAGCCACGAAATTTTTTTAATTAGAAGAAGTTTTCAGCTTGAGCGCAGCATATGAAATAAACAGCTATAAAATTAAGTAACTCTAGCTTTTATTTACTTATCATTACTTGCTTTTTGCAATAATATATAATTTGTTGGAAAACTAACTCTTGGCAAAACATAGCTGGATCGTCTATTAAGTGTTTTGCTAATTTGTTTGTTTAAACAAGTCACATGCGTTTTTAGAAATATTTAGTTTGCGTTACATCAATCTAAAAAATAATAAAAATAGCGACGTAGGGTAGATCGATAAAGAATAATATTTATGTACACCGTATTCCAAGAATGTCTACCATTCAAATCTTTGTCGAATAAGATATTTGGTTTGAATCCAGCGACTTCCTTATGTTGCTGTTAAAAACAGAGCAATCACACTAAAATGCACTAATTTCAATTGTTGTTAAAAGATAAACACACATTTAAAAATTTTTTGCCCTATGTTGAACAAAATGTATATATCAAAGTTAGCTAGCTAGCAAAGCAGATTAAAGGACAAAATATTCTTAGCTAAGAGAATAGCCCTTTCAAAATTTGAATAAACGTCGTGTATTTGAGGAGGAGGTACCGAACCTAAGCACATGAGTCAAACACAACACTTACCAAGTATTTTAGGGTTCTGCACCATAAAAGGAAAAAAGGAACCCTTATCACTTCGTTGTCCGTCTGTTCGTCTGTCGGTCAAGACCCATTTTCTCAGAAACGCGTGGCGGTATCATGTTGGTACTCATGTCTCTCACTGATACCGACAAGCTCGGCCATGTTGAATATTTGGTTAAGTTTTGACGGCTACTTTGCAAGCAACGTTTATCAGTGGTAAAAAAATGTTCTCAGAGGGCCGAGAAGATTGTGAACGACAAAGAACGTGCCCGATGTCCGAGCACGTCAACAACAGACGAAAACATTGATGAAGTGAAGAAAAGTGAAGTATTGACCAATAGTTGAATAACCGTTAGAGAAGTTGCAGAATACCTAAACATATAGATTAGCTCCTGCCATTCGATTTTTACCATTGATATGGGCATGAGACGGGTCGTCGCGAAATTCGTACCAAAATTCGCATTAACATTGCTAAGGAGCTGTTGGACTCCGTGACGACCCAAATTTGCTCCAGAGGGTCATAACTGGTGACGAAACATGGGTTTATGGTTATGACATGGAAATCAAAGCTCAATCGTTACAATAGAAGCATCCGCACGAGCCAAGACCGAAAAAATTAGGTCGAGTGTAAAGGTTTTGCTTACAGTTTTCTTCGATTGCAGGGGTGTGGTGCATCATAAGTTCTTGCCCTAGGATAGAACGGTCAATAAAGATTATTAGTTGCAAATTATGCACAATTTGCGTGAAGTAATCCGCCAGAAACGCTTGGATTTGTAGAAGAACAAAAATTAGCTTTTGCCCCTGTTCACACATCGTTGCATGTGCGTGAATTTTTGACCAAAAACAACACACTAATAATGCTGCAGTCACCGTATTCTCCAGATCTAGCCCTCTGTGACTTTTTCTTGTTCCCGAAACTGAAGAGGCCCATGAAAGAACGACGCTACGTTAACGATTAAGGAGATAAAAACGGCATCGAAGGAGGAGCTAAACAAGATCACGAAAAATGATTTTTTGAAGTGCTTTGAGGATTGGAAAAACGTTGGCACAAGTGTATAATATCTGGTGGGGATTACTTTGAAAGACCAATAATTCGGGATACTTTTTGAACAGACCTCCTTACAAGGAAATCAAAACCTACAGGAATCATGAAACTTGACAAGAAGAAATGTCTTATGCTACAAGTAAAAATAAAAAGAAAAACTTTTTAATTGTAATATTGTAATAGTGCGCTTTGGGGCCTGATTTTGGGGGAAAATTTAAATCATACTCGGAAAAGCGGGAAAAATCTTCAAGACTCAATTCCCTTCTCAGACGAACCATTTATAATAAATACCTACTAGTACAAGTTTATGGGGAACCCTCGGTTTTTTATTTTTTTTATCAGGTAAATAAATCATCGCGATCCACATGGCTCTAAATACCGTTTGAAAAATTTTCAGGACGGCAATTTTTATGGTAACTAGTCTGTCTTTGTCTATTAGCCGTAGCATCATCCTAAAATTAAGATAAGTTGGCTCTTATGATGGTGATGGTATATAAATACTAGAAATACATATAGCTCCATAGATAGTTGTAGTGAATGGAGATGCTTAAATTACATACAACGCTTGCGAAAAAAAATATTGATTATATACAGTTACTTAGTGTTAATAGCAATATAAAATGAATAGTCCATTTATGATTTCCACACTCTTATTACTTTGGGAACTGTTTCGCTATTTTGTGTAGGAGACCAGGGATGAAAGTAACAATTTTCACTTTTGACTCCAAATCATAAGTTACTAAAAATACCACAATTCTTGAACAAAGATATATTATTACTTCATCTTTTGACGTAAAAAGTTTTGTTAAAAAGGTTGTAGTTTTTGACCAAAACTAAATTATTTAGGAATCGGGATTTGTTACATGTGTCCCTACCCCTAGGGATAGAATATAAGCAAGTTGTTTAAGGAACATTTATTTATCAGCAGCGTTTATTTGAATTTAAGAACAATCTAAGTTAGTTAATAAACGAAAATCTCATTTTGACTTAAAATAATAGAAAATCTCTGCATAATTCTTACCATATAATTTGTCGTTCATTCGACAAAATAAAAAACTCTATATATATATACTAAATTTACTAATCAAATAAAAATTTAAACAAACATTTTTTCTACTGGTACGTGCTCCAGGATACAGGAACACTTATTTTAATTTAACATTCTTTATTTAAATTTAACAATTAGAGGAAACAAAATAAAACATAATGTAACATAAAAATTCTCTTCAAATAAATAATTTGTTAACTATTAACAAATATTCATTTAAATATATATATATTCAAAGAAGGTATTTATTAACTATTGCTAAATTTCAGGACTAAATTCTTCTATCAGTGTAGCTAAAGGATAAAAGTAACAAGTTGTTCTAAAATTCTCAAAATCTGACAAACCTGTGTTGTTATTTAGAATATCGATCAAGAACTTCGACCCTTAATAATAAAATATTAAAGATAAGTAATCAACCATCAATATTGGCGATCAAGGTTACAACTTATAAATACATGTACAAGATTAAAAAGAAATCAAAAACTTTCGACGTAATTTTCTGGCACCTACGAATTAAACACACAACCGATGGTCACATGACCGTGGACGCCACTGAAGTGAGAGGGGAGTGAAAAAACAACACTAACATGGCGGACAGGATCGTACACGTCGATTATAGGTTAATTTGTTAATTTCAACCCGCATTACATGCATCCCTGGTCTTTTCTACTTACATAATTTTATCATTTAATATTTGTATTTGTTCTTGTGTTTCGCTTATTTGGTTTTTCAACTTCAATTAATTTAATTTTAGCAAATACTTGTCAAAAAGATTGATATTTTAAAAACTAATGTAGTGAAAATAGTACAGCATTTATGAAACCGTTTCACCACCCTAACTTATTTATTTTTAGTTCTGACTCCTATATAATTTACTTCTAACTGATGATTATCAATCAATTGATCATTAATTTCCAAAATTTAAATAAGCGTAGTCAATAATTTGTAATATTGTAAATACGTATGTACATTAAATTTATTAAATGCTTTGTACAAATGTATGATATTTTCATCAGATCAATAGAAATCTTATTTCAAGTCTTACATTCTTTCGCAATATGAAGTGTGGAAATTATAAAGATAGTTTTAATGCGACATTAAATTGAAATGAGCCATCCATCAAGTAAAAGTAGATCCATCCATTAAGAATAATGTCATATTATATGTATTCAGTTGCTGATTCCTTTGCAGAAAAAGTGTCACAAGACAGCAGTCGTTTTGTCAACTTGAAGACATAGTAGAAGAAACTGAAGATAGCGACTGCAACGAAGTCCTGTCTACAGTCTGCAGATAGCAAAACTAAAGTTGCCAATTTATACACTTAAGTAATANTTAATTGTAATATTGTAATAGTGCGCTTTGGGGCCTGATTTTGGGGGAAAATTTAAATCATACTCGGAAAAGCGGGAAAAATCTTCAAGACTCAATTCCCTTCTCAGACGAACCATTTATAATAAATACCTACTAGTACAAGTTTATGGGGAACCCTCGGCAGATGGAAAAAATGTACAATATCCCTCTTATACATCACTTAACAGCATAAAGTATCCGGAATTTTTAAATTTTATGAGCTAAATTGCCGTAAATTATTTTTGCTTGTCTTGGTACACTTACATAGAATAGATATATATAAATTTATCAATATCCATATGGCATGCTGACTTCCTCATCAGTTGTCGATAAAGTTGTAGGTACATGTTTTGGTATGCTCCTCGATTTTGTATTTTAGAAAAAAATTTATAAGAGAATTTGCATCAAATTTTGTTATAAGAATGGATTAAAGTGCAAAAAATGTGTTAGATGTGTTGAACTTTGTTTTTGGTGATAAGGTCGTGGAAAAATAGAAGAAGAAAAGTGAAAGAAACGTTTTCAAGATAGTCGGGAAGATGCTGATGATGATAAGTGCGATGAGCGACTCAACCACTCAACACATCATTAACTTATAACAATGTCGAAAAAGTGAAAAAAATGATTGTGGATGATCGTCGAAAAAGTGAAAAAAATGATTGTGGATGATCGTCGAAAAAGTGAAAAAAANTAATATCGCGGCAGATGGAAAAAATGTACAATATCCCTCTTATACATCACTTAACAGTTTCCTTATAAAATTTGTTAAGTACCAAAATCCTTGTTTGACGCCAAAATTAGAATAGAGACGTACAAAATGCAACATAACCTTTGGAATGATTTTCAAACAGTGAAAACAAATTTTGTTAAAAATATATTATAATTTTGTAGGAGTTTGTATAATTCTCTCATCGGAAAATCTAGGTTTTATAGTTTAGATATTTTCAATTATTAGTAGATATACTTAATATCGCGGCAGATGGAAAAAATGTACAATATCCCTCTTATACATCACTTAACAGTTTCCTTATAAAATTTGTTAAGTACCAAAATCCTTGTTTGACGCCAAAATTAGAATAGAGACGTACAAAATGCAACATAACCTTTGGAATGATTTTCAAACAGTGAAAACAAATTTTGTTAAAAATATATTATAATTTTGTAGGAGTTTGTATAATTCTCTCATCGGAAAATCTAGGTTTTATAGTTTAGATATTTTCAATTATTAGTAGATATACTTAATATCGCGGCAGATGGAAAAAATGTACAATATCCCTCTTATACATCACTTAACAGTTTCCTTATAAAATTTGTTAAGTACCAAAATCCTTGTTTGACGCCAAAATTAGAATAGAGACGTACAAAATGCAACATAACCTTTGGAATGATTTTCAAACAGTGAAAACAAATTTTGTTAAAAATATATTATAATTTTGTAGGAGTTTGTATAATTCTCTCATCGGAAAATCTAGGTTTTATAGTTTAGATATTTTCAATTATTAGTAGATATACTTAATATCGCGGCAGATGGAAAAAATGTACAATATCCCTCTTATACATCACTTAACAGTTTCCTTATAAAATTTGTTAAGTACCAAAATCCTTGTTTGACGCCAAAATTAGAATAGAGACGTACAAAATGCAACATAACCTTTGGAATGATTTTCAAACAGTGAAAACAAATTTTGTTAAAAATATATTATAATTTTGTAGGAGTTTGTATAATTCTCTCATCGGAAAATCTAGGTTTTATAGTTTAGATATTTTCAATTATTAGTAGATATACTTAATATCGCGGCAGATGGAAAAAATGTACAATATCCCTCTTATACATCACTTAACAGTTTCCTTATAAAATTTGTTAAGTACCAAAATCCTTGTTTGACGCCAAAATTAGAATAGAGACGTACAAAATGCAACATAACCTTTGGAATGATTTTCAAACAGTGAAAACAAATTTTGTTAAAAATATATTATAATTTTGTAGGAGTTTGTATAATTCTCTCATCGGAAAATCTAGGTTTTATAGTTTAGATATTTTCAATTATTAGTAGATATACTTAATATCGCGGCAGATGGAAAAAATGTACAATATCCCTCTTATACATCACTTAACAGTTTCCTTATAAAATTTGTTAAGTACCAAAATCCTTGTTTGACGCCAAAATTAGAATAGAGACGTACAAAATGCAACATAACCTTTGGAATGATTTTCAAACAGTGAAAACAAATTTTGTTAAAAATATATTATAATTTTGTAGGAGTTTGTATAATTCTCTCATCGGAAAATCTAGGTTTTATAGTTTAGATATTTTCAATTATTAGTAGATATACTTAATATCGCGGCAGATGGAAAAAATGTACAATATCCCTCTTATACATCACTTAACAGTTTCCTTATAAAATTTGTTAAGTACCAAAATCCTTGTTTGACGCCAAAATTAGAATAGAGACGTACAAAATGCAACATAACCTTTGGAATGATTTTCAAACAGTGAAAACAAATTTTGTTAAAAATATATTATAATTTTGTAGGAGTTTGTATAATTCTCTCATCGGAAAATCTAGGTTTTATAGTTTAGATATTTTCAATTATTAGTAGATATACTTAATATCGCGGCAGATGGAAAAAATGTACAATATCCCTCTTATACATCACTTAACAGTTTCCTTATAAAATTTGTTAAGTACCAAAATCCTTGTTTGACGCCAAAATTAGAATAGAGACGTACAAAATGCAACATAACCTTTGGAATGATTTTCAAACAGTGAAAACAAATTTTGTTAAAAATATATTATAATTTTGTAGGAGTTTGTATAATTCTCTCATCGGAAAATCTAGGTTTTATAGTTTAGATATTTTCAATTATTAGTAGATATACTTAATATCGCGGCAGATGGAAAAAATGTACAATATCCCTCTTATACATCACTTAACAGTTTCCTTATAAAATTTGTTAAGTACCAAAATCCTTGTTTGACGCCAAAATTAGAATAGAGACGTACAAAATGCAACATAACCTTTGGAATGATTTTCAAACAGTGAAAACAAATTTTGTTAAAAATATATTATAATTTTGTAGGAGTTTGTATAATTCTCTCATCGGAAAATCTAGGTTTTATAGTTTAGATATTTTCAATTATTAGTAGATATACTTAATATCGCGGCAGATGGAAAAAATGTACAATATCCCTCTTATACATCACTTAACAGTTTCCTTATAAAATTTGTTAAGTACCAAAATCCTTGTTTGACGCCAAAATTAGAATAGAGACGTACAAAATGCAACATAACCTTTGGAATGATTTTCAAACAGTGAAAACAAATTTTGTTAAAAATATATTATAATTTTGTAGGAGTTTGTATAATTCTCTCATCGGAAAATCTAGGTTTTATAGTTTAGATATTTTCAATTATTAGTAGATATACTTAATATCGCGGCAGATGGAAAAAATGTACAATATCCCTCTTATACATCACTTAACAGTTTCCTTATAAAATTTGTTAAGTACCAAAATCCTTGTTTGACGCCAAAATTAGAATAGAGACGTACAAAATGCAACATAACCTTTGGAATGATTTTCAAACAGTGAAAACAAATTTTGTTAAAAATATATTATAATTTTGTAGGAGTTTGTATAATTCTCTCATCGGAAAATCTAGGTTTTATAGTTTAGATATTTTCAATTATTAGTAGATATACTTAATATCGCGGCAGATGGAAAAAATGTACAATATCCCTCTTATACATCACTTAACAGTTTCCTTATAAAATTTGTTAAGTACCAAAATCCTTGTTTGACGCCAAAATTAGAATAGAGACGTACAAAATGCAACATAACCTTTGGAATGATTTTCAAACAGTGAAAACAAATTTTGTTAAAAATATATTATAATTTTGTAGGAGTTTGTATAATTCTCTCATCGGAAAATCTAGGTTTTATAGTTTAGATATTTTCAATTATTAGTAGATATACTTAATATCGCGGCAGATGGAAAAAATGTACAATATCCCTCTTATACATCACTTAACAGTTTCCTTATAAAATTTGTTAAGTACCAAAATCCTTGTTTGACGCCAAAATTAGAATAGAGACGTACAAAATGCAACATAACCTTTGGAATGATTTTCAAACAGTGAAAACAAATTTTGTTAAAAATATATTATAATTTTGTAGGAGTTTGTATAATTCTCTCATCGGAAAATCTAGGTTTTATAGTTTAGATATTTTCAATTATTAGTAGATATACTTAATATCGCGGCAGATGGAAAAAATGTACAATATCCCTCTTATACATCACTTAACAGTTTCCTTATAAAATTTGTTAAGTACCAAAATCCTTGTTTGACGCCAAAATTAGAATAGAGACGTACAAAATGCAACATAACCTTTGGAATGATTTTCAAACAGTGAAAACAAATTTTGTTAAAAATATATTATAATTTTGTAGGAGTTTGTATAATTCTCTCATCGGAAAATCTAGGTTTTATAGTTTAGATATTTTCAATTATTAGTAGATATACTTAATATCGCGGCAGATGGAAAAAATGTACAATATCCCTCTTATACATCACTTAACAGTTTCCTTATAAAATTTGTTAAGTACCAAAATCCTTGTTTGACGCCAAAATTAGAATAGAGACGTACAAAATGCAACATAACCTTTGGAATGATTTTCAAACAGTGAAAACAAATTTTGTTAAAAATATATTATAATTTTGTAGGAGTTTGTATAATTCTCTCATCGGAAAATCTAGGTTTTATAGTTTAGATATTTTCAATTATTAGTAGATATACTTAATATCGCGGCAGATGGAAAAAATGTACAATATCCCTCTTATACATCACTTAACAGTTTCCTTATAAAATTTGTTAAGTACCAAAATCCTTGTTTGACGCCAAAATTAGAATAGAGACGTACAAAATGCAACATAACCTTTGGAATGATTTTCAAACAGTGAAAACAAATT